GTTGCATGCAAAATTCAACCGAAATTTCCGTCCAAAAATTTCGATCTTGCAAATATTTACCAAATCTTACGCGATTATTTTATGAATATTTATACACGTTCGCAAGCCACTGCAAGCCAATGGTTTATTTAACGCGTGATTTATGATCTATTTAAAGTCGCATCGATTCGCAAAAGTTATTAGCGATTACTGTTGCTTGACAATTTGCTTCAGTAATATATGATTTGTCGGAGTTGTAGTCGGCGAGAGACTCGCATATCGCGCGATCTCCCACACTCGCGTTATCGATATTATACTCTCGTGCCAACAAAACCCTTCTTCTATACAATATAATACACTCTGGTTTATCATCTCGATATATTTTCCTTTTCTATACGTTCCTTCCGAAAGTTTCCTCGTCCGTTTCGTTCTTGCACTGTTTTAATCGCGATCGTCGTTTCGATATATTTTCATGGATCGTTCATTCTGAAGTTTTATCACTCGTCTATCTCTTTTTTCCTTTAATTTCTTAATCGAGCGCAATACATCTCTAAACTTCCTTCATTTATTTCACTTTCTCAACGGGATCGCAGTTTTAATATATTGTTTACCAACTGAAGTTTTGTCACTCGTTTTACTCCTCCGTCGAGGTATAATCGGTTTAATGCATTTCGTGTTTTATATTCTGAACTTTATTTCCAGCTTCGATGTATTTCATAGATGTTTCTCATCTTAAATTCTTATCGCTTATTTTCACTCTTTTTTGTTTATTGTAAACGTTATTTCTTCGTCGAACTTTTGCACACGTGTTACGTGTGTTGTGTAAAACATTTTGAAATTTCATTAATGTTGTAGTCTGAAAACTATAATTAGTACCTTAAATCTCGAATATTAAAGTTCATTAATATAACATTTTTCTGTTGTATATTTGTATGTATACTTCTAAAGAAATATCTTGTAACTTCTATGTGCATGTTTAATTCTTTGTATGTATTATAGGTATATATCCTATATTTAAATACATTCTCAAATTAGTTTTGAGTGTTATTAACATAATCATAATAGCCATCTCTCATTGCGAGGTAATGAAATATCAAAATATCTTGTGCACGAAATACACAATAATATATACATACACAAAAGTGCAGTCATAAATCAATAAACAACGTATCACTTCTATCCACCACCAGAAAACTTCGCATTTCGTCCACCAAAATCCTGATTTATTCTACACCATCCATTATCCCCAACAAGTATACGTAACCATCCCCAACATACATTTCATTCTACAAAAAATCATCCCCGTAAAACACGTATTATTTCATATTGCGACACATCTATCACCGGCCCGAAATTTCGCGTTTCGTCTATCCAAATCCTGATCTATCCCACCCATCGTTATCCGCGACACGCAGCCGCCATTCGAACGTTCGAAATCCCTCTCTCCCCTCAAGAAATCCTCTTCCGAAAAAAAAAAAAAAAAAAA